GTCCCCTCCTCTCTCATGACACTGTCGGGCTCTTGGTCCATGACCGAGTGCTTGACTTTTCAGAGGGGGTAAAACCAAAATGAGTGTCATTTTGGTGTCACCCCTCCATTGGTATTACCCAGGTGCAGGCCGCACCCCCGTTGTGACGCCGATGTTCCCATCATCCTGGTGCTGAGTTCCCAGGTCTGTACACCTGCTGTGCCCATTATGAGGAGCTCCCACCATTCCTGTGCTGAACCCCCCGGTCTGCCCACCTGCTTTGCCCATTATGAGGGGATCCCAACATCTCTGTGCTCAGTTCCTGAGTCTGCACACCTGCTGTGCCCATTATGAGGGGTTCACACCACCCCTGCACTAAGTTCCCGGATCTACACACCTGCTGTCCTGCTGTGCCCATTTTGAGTTGTTCCCTCCATCCCATTGCAAGACATGTTGGAAGGTTAATTGGGTCCTGTATGTGTGAGATGGGGACCTTAGATTGTAAGCTCCTTGAGAGCAGGGACTGATGAGAATGTGCACTATGTAAAGCTCTGTGGAAATAGTTGGCGCTATATAAATACCTGTAATATTAAATAAAAGCAAGACAGCAATCTACAAAACCTCCATTTTTTCCCCCTTCGGTTGTCTTTTTACAAACGATCACCTATAGATCGTTGTCATTATTTTTATTATTATCGATTTACACAGCACAGTTGGCACAATCATCTCTCCGTAGGCCATTTATCAAGCGTGCAGCGATCGACGTGAAGTATCGACAAGGAAATAAGCAGGGAGCGTTCCACTGCGACGTAAACGGGTTTAAAAATATGTGCGGAATCATCCTGGAGCCGATATTACACCTGGAATGATAAGGAGAGACCTTCTGTTGACACAGAAAGGTTATAATGTCTCCAATATTGAGTTTAATAGAATTCCAAGGATGTTTGAGAAGGTTTTAGCGCCGGATTGCAGACACGGCTACAATACCTCGCAGTTATTAGTATTAAAAAGAGAACGTAAAAGGTCAGACTAATATTGGAGATTTTATTATATAAGTAATCCTGACATACGGAGTTCCCGAGAGACGGGGAGATAACATTTGGGAGGTCTACAGACCATACGCTGATAATGAGAGTGAAATGACTGCACACATTTTATCATTTTTTTTAAATGTTTTACTTTTCGATACCTTTTCACTTGATTCTTGTTTATTGAAAGATGAATTTCCGGCATACGTAAACATATATTTAAAGGGTATCTATGGTCAAAAATGTTAAATAAATCTGTATTTCTATATTGAATTTCCATCAGTTCTATCCCACCCCTAATACTAATATCCATCTCGAAGTTTGTAAACTGAAGATGGCCATAGGACGGACTCCCTCAATGCACTGACACAATTTCACTCAGCCGTGTGAGTAGGCACTTTTCACAGAGCCTGCCGTCTGAACTACAACTCAACGTCTGAACAAAGTAACATTATCATTGCTAGCTGGAAGCAAGGTATCATGGGAGATGCAGTCTTAAGAAATCGAGTTTGCATCACATCAAGCAATACATTAAAACCACATTACTCCATCCAGGGGCGTTCCGAGGCCAGGTGTCACCCAGAGAGGAGACCGGGGGACACTCCGCCGTGACATCATCGCGCATAACGTCACCATGCGCGTGCGCGATAACGACACTGCGGATGAGTTATGCTGCTAGGTCCACTCCTTTCTCCTCACACTGTCGGGCTCTCGGTCCATGGCTGCAAGTCATTTTGGTGTCACACCTCCTATGTTCAAGCAAAACAAATCGCAAACGCACTCATCAATTTGTCACCAGCTTTACAGCAAGGTGCACATGGAAGGGCTTTATACAGTACAACAGCAAAAGGTTTCCTGGCACACTCACCAGTCAGCCTGCAAAAAAACTTGTCCCACCACTAAGGTTAAAAACAGAGGTTTAGATACACGTCCCCCTCCACTGGTGTCACCCGCACCTTGTGACGCCACTGACTCCATCCCAAGATGGAAGGAAAAAAATCAGAAATAAGGATATCACATGAAGCAGGGGCTACAGAGAATAAAGGAACCATCCATCTTCACCTTGTCTAGGGGTATACGGATTCACATTACCCATTAGCACTTACCACCCTCTATGGTGACCGATAAAAGTGAAGTCCAGACTGTAGGAATGATGTTGATGAACTTTTTGACGTGCACCACCAACACCCCCTGTTCAGCTTATCTGAATGACTTTTGGTCCAGTAAGGGAAAAAAAGGAAATGACAGAGATCTTCACTTGCCAGTGTATTATTGTTAAACGTCCAAAAAGAAACAATGTTGCAACAGTAAGGGGTATATTTATAAAATAAAATTCAGACAACTATTCATCTTGTGTAACTGTAAATTCGATCTGTGCAAATGATGGGGCAAAAACAAATGTTTATATTCTTTCCAGGTCACATGTAACATTTATAAGTTTAGAATGAATCAGGAAAATACTGCATCATGGCCTAGATGGAGCCAAGGATCATATAAATAAATACGTATTTCCTCTTCTCCTCACCTCCATCTAGTGGCCAAAATGTGTTATTTTCCTGATAGTCCATTCTAGTAAATTAAAAACATTCTCAGCAACAGGAATCAATGCTCATGAGGACACAGGACATCTGATTGGCTTTTCCATGTTTTATGGGTAAACGGTAGCAACAGGGGCATGGCTAGACCTTGGCACCTAGGGCGCATGCCCCAGGTCTTCTACACCAGAAAGAACATGCAGTATACCAACAACATTAAATTTTGCCCAATTCAGACTAAACAAATATAAATGGAAGTTTTGTAGGACGAATGTCTCTGCAAAATTTGTATCAATTCTCCCCAAATTGCTTCACATCAGATGCAGTGCAGTTATTATTCTCCAGGAACGTAAATGACTAGGACTTTTGAGAGTTATTTACACACTGCTGATCCACTAAGAAGCAATCTTAGGGGTGTATTTATAAACAAATTTATAAACAATTCACCCTGTAAAGCTCCATGCATGTTCGTTCTATGGAGCCAAAAATGAACATTCTTAGTACATTTTCTTTCCAATTCAAATGTACTATATGTCAAATACTGCATTAGGGCCCCTAGATGGAGCAGGGAAGCATAGGAAAGAGGTATATCTGTACGTTTCACTGGTCATCCAACCAGCTATCGCAATTCAGAATGACTTGCATTTGCATAATTGGAGTTTCCAGTTGCCTTGACTTATTTTTTACAGCTATACCATGTGACCTGGATGAATGAGAACCTTCACAGACATAGGAAAGAGGTATTTATCTCCTATGCTCCTCGGCTCCATCAAGTGGCCATAATGCAGTATTACATAATGACATTTACATTGCTAAGAACGTTCGTTTTGGGCATCTATTCTCACAAAATGAGCATTCAAAGAGATTCGAAGTACAAATGGCTCTGTAAATTATTTATAAATAGGCCCCTTAGTGTTTGATAATACAATATTTTTTCTTTTTAGACTTTTAAAAAATTATACACTTGCTGACATACTTTTTCCTTCACTTTAAAGTGAGTTGAGAAATATGTGAACGGCCATTGGAGACAGCAATTATTTTTAATGTCATAGTTACATAGTATATAGTTACATAGTATTTGAGGTTGAATAAAGACACGGGTCCATCAAGTCCAACCTATAGCATGTATGCATGTGTATGAGTCATCTTCTTCTTGAGTGTACCTGTACCCCTGTATGTTGCGGTCAATACTCTTAGCTGAAATCACTGCTTGTGGCAGCGAGTTCCATACCCTGACCGCTCTTACTGAGAAAAAGCCCCTACGCCCCTTGTGCTTACATTTTTTTCTTCACCAGTTTTAGGTGGTAGACTCTAGTTTTTGTTATGGAGGTTACCGTAAAGAGTTTATTGCTGATGTTGCTATTTCCATTGAACATCTTGTACAAGAAAATCATATTCCCCCTTAATCTCCTTACTTCCAACATGAACATGTTTAGATTTAGTAACCTTGTCTCATAGCTCTGGTCCTGCATCCCCTTAATTAGTTTGGTTGCCCTCCTCTGGACTCTTTCCAGTTCAAGGACATCCTTTCTGTGGATTGGTGACCAAAACTGGACTGCGTACTCCAGATGAGGCCGAACCAGTGATCTATAAAGTGGCATAATGATAGCCTTGTCTCTACAATACATTCCCTTTTTAATACAAGACAGTACTCTGCTCGCTTTGTTTAGCGCGGCCTGGCATTGCAAGCTATTATTCAATATGTGGTCTACTATGACCCCCAAATCTTTTTCCATTTGTGACTTCCCTAGTGGAGTTCCCATTAATGTGTATTCCGCTTGCCTATTTTTAACATCCAGATCAGGCTTTGTCATTGACACTACCATGTACAGTGAGGTCTGCAGATGTCCTGTTAAACATAGCTAACAATTGCTTCTAAAGTCCATCTACGTTTAGTTACTTTGAAGGAGAAGAACACAAGTAGGCAAAAATATATACAATGCAAGATATAAAATATATAGGTAATAAGATTTACAAGAACAAGTAACAAAAATGGCACATTTAGAGCCACACTACTTAGTAAGGCCCACGTTTCTGGAAAGCCCCGGAGAGCTGGGGTCTCTAATCTCCAAGCTTCTTCCCTGGGAGTGATGTGTCTCCAGCCCTCAACCTGCTGGAATCACACAACTGCAAGAAGAAAGATTGACAAGGGATCATTAGTGGCTTCCAAAAGGTGTTTATGGCTTTTTCAAGTCCAGCAATAGGGTCGCTTTAACATACAAAGATCTTATACACAGAAAGCAGTCTTCTGTAATCGAGAGCTGAAGCTGGAATATTCCACATAACGTCTTCAGTGCATGGCCTCCTGGAATCCTCAGGGGGTTAATAAGACCGTACAAATGTATCATCCTCCCTCCGTGTACTGCATTTCAGGTTATTTTTGAGCACACTTTACTTGAATTCCATATAGTCAGAGCTGAGTCGTTAAAGTGTTCCTTATAGTAAGATAGAATCAGTGCTAAGTACAGAGCAATCTTTGAAATGGTCTTTCAAGCAGTACTGTGAGAGCCAGTCCAATGGCGATCGTCAACATGGAGTGTCCAATGAACAGGTAGAACTGGTGGAAGAAAAACACTGTCAGGAAAGTAGAAGCGATGAGTGTTGTAAAGTACACTGCCTGGCCAAAAAAAAGTACCCGCCTGGATATAGCTAAGCAAATAGGTCAGAGCCTTCCATTGGATAATAGGTCTAGGTTCAACAATGCTGTGTGCCCAAAAATGAGGTCAGATGGCTACCTGAATATACTGAATGATCAGGTTTTTCCATCAATGGATTGTTTCTTTCCTGATGGCACATTGGGCATATTCCAAGATGACAATGCCAGGATTTATCGTGCTCAGATTGTGGAAGAGAGGTTTAGGGAGCATGAGACATCATTATCACACATGGATTGGCCACCACAGAGTCCAGACCTTAACCCCATTGAAAGTCTTTGGGATTTGCTGGAGACTTTACACAGTGGTCTGACTCTCCCATCATCACTATAAGTATTATTGCAACTCAGGATGGAAATAAATGTTGTGAAATTGCATACACTTATCGAAATGATGCCACACCGAATGCGTGCCGTAATCAAAGCTAAAGGCGGTCCAACCAAATAGTAGAGTGTGACTTGTTTTTGGACAGGCTGTGTAGTTGTGTAACGTAACTATCATGATCTATGATGGACTTAGCAATAGATATATGTTTTTGTGGTAAGTACATGCACACTAAGGGGTGGATTTATGAAGCGAATGCAGAGTGAATAGCTCTGTAAACCCCTAAGTTTTAGAATCAGAGCACATTATGGCCACTAGATGGAGGAATTTCCCATGCTCCTCAGCTCCATCTAGTGGCCACATCGCCCTGTGAATCAAACTTAGACGTTTGCCGAGCTACATATACCCCTTAGTATTTGGTAAGTGTAACACTTCCAGGTATTCATTACCTCTCACAGAGATCACAATATTCCCTGACAATGCCTTTATCTGCTTTTTCCCCTACCTATTTCCTGGACTGAGATGCCTGCTCAGAATTGGCCCAGGCCTAGGCAAAGTCACTACCTAGCTCTTAAAGTGACATTAAACCCTCAGATTTTTTAACATAAACCAATACTGTAATGTGTGCCTTACTGTAATCCATGGTTGTTTCCATTCTCTTTGCTGCTCTTCCTTTTAAATGCTCATGTCTTATCATGCTGGGGGAGAACTTCCCTTTGCAGCTCAGGGCCTCTTCCTGTAGTGCTGGCTCAGGTTACAAGCCTATAGAAACTAATACAGAGACACCGTATATCCATTCCTGACACAAGGCAGTCTGCTGCAAAACAGAAGTTTTGCAGAGCATGAGAACAGATACAGATTTAAAAGGAAGAGCAGCAAAGAGAAGGGAAACTACCATGGATTACAGTAAGGCGCACATTACAGTATTGTTTTATGTTAAAAAATCTGAGGGTTTAATGTCACTTTAAGGACCTTTGCTAAAAAATGATACTATTGCTGATTATCATGGAGATGTTCATGCAGACTAGCAAAGTTCTGAAAGTTCATCTGTAATTGGTAGTGAAATGTTTTAATCTCTCACCAGATCTTGAAAGCTTACTCCCCTGTAGGAAGATCTTCCAAGTGTCATCTATGAAGTCAGTAGATTCATTTGGAGAAGGTCTTCTACTTACCAGATTATCCATAGAAATAACAATGGAAGCTTGACCAGACCATTCACTTCAACAAAAACCTTCCCATAAGATCATATGTCCATTTCATGTATTTTATCCATGTTATTTATTTACCTTTAAAAAGCTCCTTTGTGTAGACACCCAAAGCCTTAAAAGAGAACTATGGGGTAAGTGTTTTTCCCCATAGTTCTCCTAAGGGTCACGGGAGGGCATATACTAAATTCCTCCCGTGACCCAAAGCTCAGTATATCGGGAGCTACAGCTCACGGTATACTGGGACCGCGGCAGCTGGGACGGATCCCAACATTACCGTCAAGATCCACACAGCTGCGTGATATGGCAGCTGGCTCTGCAGAGCCAGCTGTACCCGCCCCCTCCCCTGTCCGTTCTGCCAGTCAGCGCTGGAAGATCTAAGTGGGGAGGGGGGAATCCCTACAGGGAGCCATGAGTGACAGTCGAGAAGGATCGAGAAGTGAGCGAGCGACGGTATGTGTTTGCTCACTTCCCGATCTATTGAGCCGACGTGTGACAGTTTCATTGTCACACGTGGGCTTTTAACTATGAGGATGAGTGAAAGTCACTCACCTCATATTTCTCCTTTAAGACTGCTGTTGAGCACCGCCATCTTGGATGTGATGTCAGCAGTTCCCGCAGACTCAGAGCCTTCACTCACTCTATAGTATTCCCCTTTACTCCTCCTTCTGCTGCTACATAAAAAGTTATCTAGGGATGGGAGCTGAGGGGCAGAGGAGCTGGGTCAGCGCAGACTGCAATTAGACATTCCCAGGAGAGAAGAAGGCTATGGCATGCTGGAAGGAAGGGGGAGGAGGCCGCCTTAAGGGAACTGACTCAAATTTAGTTCAGAGGCACATTCCAAGTCAATAAAAAATAATTTATGGAAAGGAAATATGCCGCAGGAAAGCTTTAAGTATACTCAATATTTATGTGCATTTACCTGCAATTTTGTATGTAGGTGACAGGGTCTCTTTAATCTGGCCTTTCTTAGGTATAATGGGGACAGGAGAAATCAGCCCACCCAGGTTCAGGAAAGCCTGAATGGACCACATTTTCCTCTGTACCACCCAATCTAATCAGGCTAATCAGGAAGCTGGGTGGCGAGTCATTACATGCCACCTGGCTTCCTTAATAGGACTTCCGGCATCGGCGAGTTAAAAAAAAGAAATATCGGCATTCGTACTTGATGCCGAAAAACCGTTATCAGTGCATCCCTAGTTCCTAGCCACTAATTTGAGAAGCAAATAATGAGCAGATTCTTTTTGCAACTGCTTTCTAAAGCTAGAATGACAGAGATCTCGATGTGATGTCACATTCGTAGCTTGATCACTGCTCTGAAGTGCCCACGGAACTCCCTGCCCTCCTCCAAACATTTTTAGGTTACTTATTGATTCAAATGGGGACTAGGAATTGATACTCCATTATGCCAAAAAGCGTTGCCAGTATGACTATAAGTGGATCTACAAATAATGTCAGATTTAGAAATTATAGAAGGACTAAAATAAATGAGTGACGCATTTCAAATGCGGGAGAAACGCAAGCAAATGTGCACAAAAGCGACGCGTGTTCCCAGTATGCAGAGGTGTGAACGGGGGCCCTAATGCATTTCTACCAGCGCAGAGATGGGCCTCAGCAGCTCTCACCATGTTGATGTCCTGGTAGTGGAAGAGTGTCTCCTGCATTCCACAGTAGAAGATTATTATGATTGGATGTGCCAGGTAACATGCGTAACTGACCTTCGACAACACGTTCCATATTCCACATGACAGCATTGTATTTAGGGGACCTGTGAAAAGAGAATAATTACATATAGTTACATGTAGTGTAAACTGGGAATGCCGCAAATAGTTTTAGACAACAGAAGATATGAGATAGAAGTAGCACACTGCAAGTCCATATACAACTTTATTCCAATGTAAGATCGGGCAGAAGATCAAGTATTGAAGCCAACACGTTTCGTGGGTCCAAAAACACCCCCCTCACCAGGGCTAAAGAATAAGAGACAGATCTCGTCAGCAGCTGGTTCTAGTTGCTGCCAAGCCAGCCACGGAGGAGTTCTGTACCTGACATTACACTGGTTACAATGTCACTATCCATAGTCCATATACATTGTCTCTCTTTCTTAAAGCAGTGGCATCCCAAGGGGGGTGCGGGGGGTGGGGCTTGCACCCGGGTGACACCAATGGAGGGGTACAACAGCAAAATGTTTCTCAGCACACTCACCAGATAGTATGCAAAAAAACTTGTCTACCACTTGGGTTAAAAACAGAGGTTTAGATACACGTCTCCTGAATATGTGGAAGCCGCACCGCCTCGTCAAGGCTCATCTATATAGTGCGGTCCTAACTCTAACCTATGAGAGTCTACATCTTGAAACACATGTAGCAAGAAATAAAATTGGGTGCAGGTCCCTTGAGTGTCCCTGTGCCTTTAAGGAGGTTGGGCTGCCTTCTGGCAAACCTGCACCCAATTTTATCTCTTGCTGCATGTGTTCCAAGATGGCGACTCTCATAGGTTGGAGTTAGGACCGCACTATATGGAGGAGCCTTGGCGCGGCTGTGCGGCTTTCACATATTCTGCAGAAGACGTGTATCCAAACCTCTGTTTTTAACCTTAGTGGTAGACAAGATTTTTTGCGTGCTGGCTGGTGAGTGTGCTGGGAAACTTTTTGCTGTTGTACTGTATAAAGCCCTTCCATGTGCACTTTGCTGTAAAGCTGGTGACAAATTGATGAGTGCGTTTGCCATTTGTTTTGCTTGACCAATGGAGGGGTGATACCAAAATGACCCCCCTCTGAAAAGTAGGGCACTCAGTCATGGACTGAGCGCCCGATAGTTTCGGGAGAGATGAGGGGACCCGGCGGCATACCTTATCCCGCCAGGTGACTGTCCGTTCCTCTCTCTGCTGGCATCCATCACCAAGATGGCCGCCGGCAGATATCAATAAGATCTCCGCACGTGCGCGATGACATCCTGTAACTGCTCCGGGTGACACCTGGCCTCGGGACGCCCCTGCTAAAGTATTAAACTTTCAACCTTTTTTCCAATAATGACTCCAGATCAAACAAATATTGTCCTGCAAAATATTTCTATTAGCATGGAGAAGGGGGAGAAGGGAAGAGAAACAGGGAGAAGGGGAAAGATACACCTTGCTTTGCCTGTGTCATTGTGGAGAGACACACAGCTTACTAGCACACACAGGGGTGTCTCCATAGGACCCTGCCAGGGAAAGGAACCACCCTAGTACAGGATATCAGGGCCATTGCTCAGGGGACCAGCTGATTCTGCAGGAAACTAAAACTTTTAAACATCAAGGAGCAGCATCCATTGTAAGTGATTTCATCAGCATTTGAAATGGCTTAAAAACCTGTTGGCTTTAATATCACTTTAAGCCCTGATGAAGGAGGTTTTTTTGGTCCTCCGTAACGCATTGGTTTCCTTACTTGAATTTCTACCAGACCTTACATTGCAATAAAATTGTATCTGGACTATTACCTTGTGGTGTGGTTCTTCTATCATAGTACAAACCAAGGAAATTGTTTGGTGTTAGCCTTCCAACCCGGTAACCAGATGTACAGACACCCCTGTAGCACTTTTGGGTAACAATACAAATCCTGGGGTCCAGCGCTATACATTGACTCTCCAAGGCGTTACATTTGAGAATTCCACAAAGTATCTAATAACATAACTCAGTTCCAATTTGCAGAAGAGCGGCAACCCCCTCCGTGTAAAAGGCGCTTGTTCAGACATCTTCATTAAACCACAAATCATATCACCTCCGCTCGCTCTTCTGTTGGCTGCACTCAGAATCCGTTAATTGGTGCCGCCATTGCACAGAAGCTAGTTAAAGTGTTGATTAGTTATATTTAGAGATTCCAGGCAAAGCAGCAGATTGCAGCACTGAGACTTCAACACGGATGTCTTTTGGCAGAGGCAATCCTAGCATAGGAAAGGTGATGATGTAAACAAGAGGTAATGTTTATGTAAATTGTATGTAAATCCTTACAGTGAACGTCTTTTATTTGCTACTATTGGGTCTGATGAATACACTACTGAAATCATTTTGTTATATCTGTGTGATAAGTGTACAAAAAAATTGTCAGGATTTTAGATATGGCCTGTGCACAGGGCCCAATTTATTCTCTCTGCTGCCCCTCCCCCCCCCCCCCCCCCAATGGAGAATGGCAGACCTACAGGCTGCATACAAGTGATCTCTGCCAAATCACAGAGATCCCCGCTTCCCTGCTGTACATTTAGCCCTGCTTCCCTAAAACAGGGCTAAATGTAGAAAACAACTACCCTGCTGCCCCGAGGCCGGGCCTTGGTCGGTCTTGTGGGAAATCTGGCCCTGCCTGTGTACACTTGTTGTGTTATCTCAAGGTGCGCAATTAGCTCTCCTAGTTATTATTTTGGGACTAGGACTCCTATATTGTAGAGGTTTGAGGTTGGGATGGTTTAAGTTTAGCAAAAAAAAACTGGGCAGTGCTGCAAAAATGTTCTCATTGGTCGTAGGGATGTTCAGATACCAAGTACCATACTCTGTACAAGTACAAATACTTTTCCAGCTCCAAGACTAGACTAGAGAAATTAGAAAGTTAGGAGGCCGCTGTAATTTATAAGGAGCACACAGAGCTCCTGGGATTTGTACATATCTGTTTTAATGTATGATTTGTTTTATATAAATATATATTAGTGATGTTCCGATACCATTTTCCCAAGTACTGATACTTGCCTAAGTACTCACAGATACAAGTACTGATACTTGCCCAAATACAAGTACTGATACATTTTTGTTTGTCATGTGACAATTTTTTGAAAACAATACAGTCTAATGATTTCAGGACAGTGATGGAGAGCCAGAGCCATGTCCCAGCTGCAACCTCTGCAACACTGGTAGTTCTCATGAAAATGCCAAGTATCTGCACTGGTATCTCAACTGGTATCTGAACTGGTATCGGTGAATCCCTAATTGGTCATCTTGGTCAGGTGTCCATGCTGGCTGAGCGCTCGCCATTTGCAAGCAGAATTTGAAATACCGAGGGCTGCGCTGTTGTGTACAGTTTACGGAAAGCAGCCATGAAGGGTAAGGAGCATTCCATCATAGGTAACAATGTAATGGAGTGTTGTAGGGTAAGAGGGGACAGATTGGTAGGAGTAAGTGTCCAGTTCCCCAAATGTATTTGGGAAGGTGGATTAACCCTTTAAGGAAAGGATAGTATTACAGCTACTATGAAAGGTTAGAGTTAAGGTTGGGGGGATGGTTAAGGTAGCAATTAGTGTTAAGGTTCCCATGAATGTTAATGTTAGGATTAGAGAATGTGTTAGGGGGCGGGGCTCATTTATAACAATGAGCAGATATCACTATCTGCACTCCGCTATACAATACAAAGGTTACTCCACACATGGCCTTAATGTTACGGCTCATTCATATTTTTTTCATTTTTAAAACAGTGGTATTGCCAGAGTAGTGCTATACCACTGCTTTATAAATTGATACTTTAGTGTTAAGGTTAAATGGAGGTTTAGTGTTACAGGAAGTGTTAGGGTTAGTGTTTCAGAAAATGTTATAGGAATAGAAAGGGATAGTGTTAAGGTATATAAGGAGTGTTAGGGTTACAGCAAGGGTTACTATTGGGTTTACAGTGAGTGTGACAGCAAGGGTTAGCATTAGGCTTACAATCATTGTTGGGGTTAGAGCAAGGTTTAGTGTTAGGCTTACAGTGTTTGTTTGGCTCACAGCAAGGGTTAGTGTTAGGCTTACAATGATTGTTGGGGGTTAGAGCAAGGGTTAGTATGGGTTTACAGTGAGTGTTGGGGTTACAGCAAGGGTTAGTGTTAGGCTTACAATGATTGTTGGGGGTTAGAGCAAGGGTTAGTATGGGTTTACAGTGAGTGTTGGGGTTACAGCAAGGGTTAGTGTTAGGCTTACAATGATTGTTGGGGTTACAGGAAGTATTAGTGTTAGGCTTACAATGTTTGTTGGAGTTAGAGCAAGGGTTAGTGTTGGGTTTACAGTGAGTGTTGGGGTAACAGCAAGGGTTAGTGTTAGGCTTACAATGATTGTTGGAGTTACAGCAAGGATTAGTATTAGGCTTACAATGATTGTTGGGGTTACAGCAAGGGTTAGTGTTAGGCTTATAGTGAGTGTTAGGGTTACAGACAGGCTTAGTTTTATGGTTGCAGGAAGTGTTAGGGTTATAGGAAGTGTGAGTGTTAGGGATACAGGGAAGCATGGTGTTAGGTGTGATGATAATGAGGTCTGACGAACCTAAACTGAAGGGGATAATGGGGAAGTCACGTTGTTCACAGTGCAACCCTCACTTCATCAAAAAACTTCTAGCAGAATCATGAATCCTGTTTAGCTCCTGATCTGTACATTGTGTAATGAGCACAGTTGTAAATGGATATTATAAACTGCACTTAAGAGGCTGAAAAGCCAGAGACTTTCATACATCCCTATCGTAAATAGTCTGGAGGAATACAAATCTGCCTGGGACTGAGGTCAGTGGCCTATACTAGCATACACACGAGCTGCCCAGAGTTAAAGGAGAACTATGAGGTGAGTGCTTTTCACTCACCTCATAGTTCTAGCCGACCTGTGACAATGAGACTGTCACAGGTCGGCTCAGTAGATCGGGAGGTGAGCGAACACATACCGGCATTCGCTCACCTCTCAATCCTGTCACGGCTCTCTGCCGTGACAGGGGGAGGGGCTGGATTCCCCCCTCCCCGCTCCGATCCGCCAGCACTGACTGGCGGAACGGACGGGGAGGGGGCGGGTACAGCAGAGCCAGCTGTCACTCACGCAGCTGGGCGGATCTCGACATCGATGTCGGGATCTGCTTCGGCTGCGGCGTCTCATTATACCGCGAGCTACAGCTCGCGGTATACTGAGCTTAGGGTGATGGGAGGACGCTAGTTTGTGTCCTCCCGTTACCCTAAGGAGAACTATGGGGAAAAACACTGACCCCATAGTTCTCCTTTAACTTTCATACAATTTCCATACTTCTGGTTATAATTGAGCTATTTCTATGAACAAATAAGAATGATAACGTATTGGAAGGTAACAATTAGTTAGATATCAAATGTGCCTGTGCTATGATGTCCAGCAGGTGAATGAGTCTCCTAAGGAGAATACACATAAGATCCATAGCCAGCTTGATGTCTGACAAATCATAATTTCATTCTGTACAATAATATGTTGGTTGTCGGACTGTAAAACAAGGTCATCTTGGAATTTGGTTTGAATAACTGACATTAAGTGTGTGTCAGCTGAAGTATAATCAAACACTCCGGCACTGCTACATCACACTCCTCAGTTATTTTGATCGGGTGAGGGTTGGTTCAACATCTCCCTCTAGAGCAGTGGTGGCAAACCTTGGCACTCCAGCTGTTTTGGAACTACAAGTCCCATGAGGCATTGCAAGGCTCTGACAGACATAACTCCGAGAGGCAGATGGATGTTGGGATTTGTAGTTTTGGCACAGCTGGAGTGCCAAGGTTCGCCACCACTGCTCTAGAGGGACAACAAAAGTCTGCTGCATCTGCAGTGCAATGCTCTCATTCTCCACCAGTGAGCCGAGCGTGACACCGGCCAGAGCTCTTAACAACCTGGGACACTCTGGCTGGAAAGGGGACGGAAGGTACGCCCGCTGCCCCCCCCCCC